TGATCAATTTATAAACAGTCATAAAAGTTAATCAGTTACAGATAATTTAATAATTACAAAATGATTTCTCTCTTCATATACATATATAATCTTCATAATTATGTACGTGTTGCCAATGTGATTTTCGCTCGTATCACAGTAAAATTTTATTGAGCAGGTGAACAATATACGATTCCTATAATAAATTTCAGGAATTCCATTGTCAAATAAATACAAGAGATAAGAAAATATGCCAAGAAAATATATATGGTTTTAATATTTACGCGTAACAATGCGCGTGCGATACAAATGAAATATTTTTCTCCATTCGTCTCTTCATAAAGTGGAGAAAAAAATATCATTGTATCGAAATTGCGAGATGCCGTGTCGAAACTCTTATTTAACGGCAGAGATTGCTCCAAAATGAATTTCTGCGCGCGATCATCGAAAAGCTGTAACAACAGCCAAGTCAAACAGAGTCGGATAACGTGTGTTTCTCAACTATATCAACTTGTTTCGTTTCACTTCTCCCTATAGCTGATTGAGTCTACCAATAGTAGTGTCGAGTTCATAATACACTGTGTATAACTTGTGCACGGCGATAAGAAATTATACAGTGCAGCCATTAGCAGTTCAACATCGTAAACGCAAATACTACGCTTCGCTAATTTCCAGAAAAACGAGCATAGATAAAATGACAGTGCAAATGAGACACGTTTGTCGGAAAATATCGGAGATAGAGAGAAGATGTTTTTTTATTGTCCACTCAATCATCGTAAATACACATTGCAAATGCGAGCTTGCAGCTCGCAAAGTAATACGCGAAAATATTGACGCTTTCCGACGCGCGTCGAAGAGCGAGCAGCAATATTTTCGTCACACACATTATTTTTTCAAAGAGCGTATTTGAGTTCGCGACTGGGAATGTTGATTGACGTTTGTCGCGCGTTCTAAGGGGGAAAATAAATAACGCAGCGTGTACGCAACCGCAGACCTGGTGCGCGAAATTGTCGTTGGTACAAGAATGAAAATGTTATCTTTTACCCAGGGATACTGTATATATGTGTGTGCGCGAGGCACAATCTGATGTATGCTCCCCCAATTCCCAGTCCATCCCTTCTCGAAGCGCGGCCTCTTTGTGTGATCGTACATGCTTTTCCCGGTCCCTCGCTCTTCGCGACCCTTTTCGCTATTTATAGTGATTGCTTGATTTATTGTATTACGCCTACACAAAGCATATTGGGTACGAACGGTCGTAGGTACATACGAAATTTCGACAGCAGAAATTCGATCGTATATATTCTGTTATGGAATAAAAACTATAATAATGTTATATTCTATTTCGCGAAAGGACTACAAAAGAGAAAAAGAGAGATATTTCTATGAAATTTAAAATATTCTATTCAAATATGTTTTATGCATGCTACTCATCACGATACATTTATTAAATAATAATTCTACAAAGAATTCAATAAGAGTTTACGTTTAGAATCAATATCGCTAAGAAGTATCTTTTTTGCATATAATAATTTCTCGAAGCACACGTCTGAATAAACGAGAGCGCTAGAATATACATATATGTATATATAAATTATATGGTAATATATTATGTGAATAAATAATTAAGTATTCATTTGCTTTAACCAATTGCTCAAAGCATTTGCATAATTTAATTACGCTAATGTAATTAATAACTGCTATCAGTGATCGGGATTACGATGGAGCATTTATTAATTTTGTACGGCATATCTCACGACGAAACCGAAATATTGTATCGGCGCTGAAATGAGGAAAATCGATTTATTTTGTGATTTTAGTTACGGTGCCGATTAAATATTTCAGCGTGCCGAATAAACCGCAAGCTGGGACCCCCGTGCGTGTAATTTACGCTAATTCATTGGACCGATACGTATGGTGCGTGTACTACATTGAAAGTACCGCGAGAGTGCCGGTGTTCCGATTTAATCAGCCACCGCAGTTATTTGGTCGAAAATCGGTGTGTATTTCGAAGTTGCCATAAATCCTCGAAAACGCCAATGTCACGTACGAATCGCACCTTTCTAATAAGAACTCGCCCTCCAGCATGTACGTAATTTTCAAGAACGCGACAAACTTCACCTTCCTTGAAAAATTGGATCACGTATCTTACCAAGTGACGCTTCAAATATTGTACATTCCGTATTTATAAAAATCTGTTTCGTGATTTTTCAAAAGTATCACAAAACTCAGGTTTAACAACAATTAAAATCTTAATTAAATAGATCTATACGATCTAAATCGAGAAACATGGCTTTGTTGAGAGCCATATTTGATACAAGTATATGCTGTATCTCGAGTCTCTTTTTTCATTATATAAATGCGATGATATGGTTCGTACAATCTTTATGATCGTCTATCTCAAGGAGACATGTAAGAAATACCGTTGAAACGTTTCGCCATTTTATGATATCGTGGACTTGAGTTTTATAGCGACCTTTCAATAGCAATGGCATTACCGATTCAAATTGTGTCCCACGTTTACGAGCCATTTTCACAGGGCGTTGTTTTACCGTTGCCCATAGTCGACCTTACAAACACTGTCGCGGTTTCGTAGAAAATTGCTACGTGCTGAGAACTGCTATGTACTGTTCGACTAAAAAAACTGCTCTGATTTTAACGATTACGCTCTGTTTTAATTCTAAATTTAAGAGATATATCTTTTGAAATTTGTTAAAAATTTTTCATTAAATAATACAGAAAAAATTATTGTCGGAAAAATTTTCATTGATATATCTTAAAGCATTCGTAAAAAAATTGCAAAAAGTTCTTTTTCATCAATTTTTTTACTAAAAGTTTAACTCCTTGTTTATCAGTGAAATGTTCTTTTTTTTTTTTTTGGTCCGGATGAGTCGTAATTACTACTCGATACGAACATGTTCAATCATCCGACGTATATACTTGGGCGATGTAATATTTATGGTATCCAATATCCATTCGCAGATAGAGAGAAGATATGAAATTTTTAGGAGTACGTGCACAGACTCGCGCGGCAGCATTTAATATGACACACATTTTTTGCTACCTTTTGCCGCACTTCTATTCGAGAGATCTTGTTAAATCTCATTCATCGTCGAAAAACCGACGCGCAAGTTTATGCGGTTTTTCAACGTGCTCGTAATCCGTGGCGCATTGCGCGGTAATTGCGACTAGCTGGCCGGCAAACCCACGACTAGAGAGAGGCATCCGCGTCTGTCGACATTGATCACGTTTTGTTACGTTTATTGGGAGACGATACGGTATTGTCAGAAGAATGCAAATGAAAAATGTCGCGCAAAACGGAAATTGAAATCCTTGCCAATTGTTATAAAATACATATACATACCTACATATATTCCATCTACGCATCATTTGCATTCTATTCAAAGGGTTCTATAAGTATGATAGACCAACTAAATATTAGAATTAATTAAAATTCTTCCCTTTTTTTATATCAAAGAAAATTTTAAGTTATTCTAAAGCAATATATTATCAATGTTAATTCATGTAAATAACGTAATGGTAATTCTAGCCGCAATAAATCTTTCATTAGACCAGTCTAATTAAACTGACAATTTAACATTCTATTGTTCTAATTCAATAGTATAACATTATATGTAACACAATTCATTTTATACTAAAAAATGAATTATTTGCTAAATTAAAATTTTGCGACAGTATTTTTGCGAATGTTTTTTTATTTGAAAAGAATATTAATTTCAAAAGGCGTCGCATTGTAATTTAATAATTTAAACGTAAATCCGTAAATCGTCGAATAGTGCATAACAATGTCAAGTACGTAACATTCTCATTTATTATAAATATTCGAGAAATATTTTTCGGAGAAAGAGAGAGAGAGAGGGAGAGAAAGAGGAGAAAAGTGCTGGAATTTGCTATGCTTCATTTAATGCAAGCGCAGAGCTTATGAGAGATTTTCATAGCACGAAGAAAAGTGAATTAGTTGCAGCTAAAGCTAATTTAATACACAACAGGCAAAATATAAGCTAAGAAAAAAATGTTTTCTCATGAGAGGTTACGAATCGTTGACAAGACGCTCCATAGAGCGAAATTTTTGAGGACCCTTGATTCGACGAGCCATTATAATCCACGTTGGATTAAAGGATAAATTTATGCAAGCGACGGAGGTACGATTTTAAGGGATAATTAAGAGAATAATTATCTGTAATTAACCGAGTTAATCGCCTGTAAAGTACATGGGAAAGTATGGGATGGGATGGGCGCTAGAATCAATTCAATACGAGGTGAATATATATATAAACCTAGCAACCATTTGAATTACATGGATTGCCTAATGTTCGAGTTGAATTTAAATAAGAGATGGAGATAATTCGTTTTTCAATACATCGATTTCGATCTTTATGATTTCCAGCGATATTTATATCAACCATTTACTGCTTTTACACTCTTTTAGTTTCCACTAAAAAGAAGAAAAAAATGAGAAAGAAAGAGAGGGAGAAAAGTTTTTAATATTTTATTTGAATAGCGAGTCGTATTTTTTTGAAGTGATTTCTTTGTCGAAATTGCATTTTCTCTGTAGAGCGAAATCCATTTATAATAAATAAACGGATGAGGATTAATACAACGAAAGGTGTGTATGCGTGTATGAAGCTGACGTCTGATTTCGTGGAAATTTATAAATAATGAAGAGTTCTGGTTTTCATGGTTCTTGATAGTTTAAGCAAATAGTTCTAGCTATTAAAGCAACAAAAATACATTGGAAACTGAGACACAACTTTACGTACAATCTCACTTTGTCCTACGGTATTTTCCTTATAATAATAAATAATTTCCTTGTAACAATAAATAATATAATAAGTAAATATTACGATTAATTTATAGTTTTACATTTAAGTTTTAAAAAGAATGTTGCTTTCTAAAAGCAAAAAAAAATTAATTAAGCTATATAAAGATAACCGTATATTTATATATATTTACAGATATTAATATTTCTCTAATATATGTATGTATTTTATTTGTTGTTGCAGGTTCTCGCAGCCAAATTCGCGCGCAATTTATGAGCAATAATACCTAAACGGATCGTTGCTTTGTGTTTTCGATAGTTCTCTCATTGTGCAATGTACGCGAAATAAGCGTACGATCGCGTCGGGAGTGCCGTGTAAAGTTCTGCGTGTCGGGAGTGCCGTATAAAGTGTCGGACGATCGTAATTATTTGTGTTCGTGACTGCTACGAAGACGAGAATGATCGACCAGAAGAGGAGGAAACCAGGAAAGCATCGGGTGAGAACGGGGCAACTATGAGGTATGCATAAAAATATTTTTTTATTGCATTGTTTATAAGATATATTCGGCCCTTTCCAAATTTTCAAAATACCCTGTACACATAACATCCATACACACATGTATACATTAATTTGTTTTCAGATCAATGTGCTGTGTACTATAACTCCGCTATTGCAGGTATTGGTGAATGAGAAATTGTTTATTTAATTGTTAATATTTCTGTAACAGTAATAGCCTGTATGAAGCCGGCGGCTCATTTCGCGCAAACTTATAAATAATTAAGAGTTCTGGCTTTGTTTCCAATATCAAAAACTAGAATTATTTAATTCAAACAAATAGTTTCATTATTAAAGTAAACTTGTCCCGCGGCATTTTTCTTATCAGTGATTATCAGAATTGAAAAGATTGATAGTTTCACAAGTTCTAAAAATAGTTTGATCTTTTTACAAAGAAAAATAATTAAATATATTGAGTTTCACGAAATAAAAAACCAGCTTCGCATACACCAACGAAAGAAAGAACGAACGCGGCAATTTTTTGCCAAAGTATTCAGCGATACGTAATATCTGTAAAACTGTTATTCGTGAATATTTTTAAAATGATCAAAGCCACTCAACCATCCTTGGTGTGAGATCTTGCCGCCATAAGTGTCCTTTTGTTCTCTTGGTTCTTAGATTTAGGTATACACGCTCCATTGTTCCGACAGGAACTGAGAGAAACGACGAACCGCTTATACCGCTAACTGCACATTCCGACTATGTATGAACCTTTGTACGTGAATATACATTACGGGAAAATCCATTAAATTCTAAACATAATTGCGGTTTCACATATGATACTCGCCAGATATTCACGATGCGCGTATGAATATTATAGATGTCCGTTTACGGATTCCACAGTTTTATATATTATATGCAACAGATATAGCACGCGCGGTTATAAATTATTTCTAACGCGATCTATAAAACGAATATATAACGAGATATATATACACCTCATCCGTGTATATATATAATTCTTTTTTAAGAAATGCGCAATACCTGCTTCATATATTATTAAGAGTTGCTTTTAAATTTTCTTTGAACTTGTGCTAAAATATTTAATGCTGATTATAAAAATGGTGGATATAAAAATGATTTTGCATCGATAATTATCGAGGTAAGCGATCAAGTTGTTAAAGTCATACGTAAAAATTGAAGATACTTTTCAGCGCTTTACTTTGAAGGATAACACTGGTAGACAATCATTATCGATTTCTCGTTAATCTCTCACTGGATCTGTTTCAACAGTGGCGATCTTTCTTGTCAGCTATTATCTACGTCTCATTTTCAATTAATACCGGATATTCACTAGACGGTTAAATGTTCACTCGTAAAACCCATATGCATACATAATCGCTGTCTGTTGAGGTTTCTACTAAGGCTCTTGATATCCGCATGGCATATATCGCATGTGTCATGTGAATAACCAATAACTTGCGATATTGGCCTTAAGTCGTAGATCGTCTCGGATGAAGGATTGCACGTATCTAGTAATAGCGAAACGATAAACCTCCGCGTGATGGTAGGATTTCTACGCGGAAACGTAATAATGTTTGCCCGACTAACGCTGGATTCTTGCAAACTCCGAGCTGTCGCTCAACTTCAACTTATTTTACAAGAATCGATATAAACGTGAGGATCGATCTCCGCGCTATGGGAGTTCGCGGGGATCCACGGTAAATTGATATTGACGTTACAAGATAGGGTTAGGTCGATCCGGATATAAGAGCATCGTACTTCATGTTTTCTTTCACCAGAACGGTCAGCGAAGAAAGAAAGAGGAAAAACGAAAGCGAGAAAAAGAGAACTTCCGTGGCTAACAAACAAACGGCAAACTTGGAAGCCGCCTTCGACACGAAGAATTTCATCTAGCAAGACTGTAGCATTGAATCTATGTATGAGAGCTTTACTTTTGGCCACCTACTTTTTCTTTATATACGTGACACTCTTTTTTTTTTTTTCGTAAAAAGTATGATGATAACGTATACTTTCTGATAACTCATGAGTTAGAGAGAAGTTGCTCGGTAAATTTAATCATTGAAATAATTTATGGGTCATAAAATTTTTAATGTTAAATTTTCACTCATTTACTCTTTCTCTTTTTTTCTCTCTCTCTCTCTCACTTATCATAATGATATACCTACATTTAATATAACGTTTAACAAAGAATATCATGTTTCTACAATTTTGTGACATATTTACGGGTGTATGTTTACTGTACTCGCAGCAATTTTAATCTGATACGATGTGAAACGTGTAAATGTCACGTATATTTACATTTTGCCAAACCAACGTTTACGCGAAGCAAAAACTGTCCTTGCAGAAGGATAAAAAGATCAATTACATTTCGCCTATTCTACTATGATCGAAAACTTACTTGTTGAAAGAAAAACGATCGGAAAGAACTTTGTAAGATAGTATCGGGAAAGGGACAAGTCTACAATCACTTCCTTTGAGTATGTCGATGAGAGGCTACGTGTATTGAAAGACGATAAAACTTTCTCCTAACACGTATGCTATTGCTGGGGTAGAAAATCGAAATCTCCAAAGTTAGCAAAAGAGCCTCTCGCAGATGCGAGGAAATATGTTAAAACACTAGTATCGTGGCATCGTAAAGAAATTACCAATTTTTAATCAAAATTTATTTAATTTTTGCAATTTTATCAGCTATAATAAAATCAATTATAAAAAGTAACATAATTGAAATATTGCAAGATGCACTAGAATTAATTAACATTATGGACAGTTCATATAATTAGAAATTGATATAAGAAGTAGAAGGAAAAATTGCAGAGAGGATTTCTTATCTCTTGAATTATCAATTTCTTTCCGTGATTAATATTTCTGATTTTCGACGCAAGGTTGGAATATAGGGCGCATTTATAAATAATGAAAAAATAAATTGTTCTCTCTCTTTCTTTTCTCTTTCTCTCTCACTTTAGATTCGCTTGCTCGGATGCAAAGAATAAAACTTGAATAGCAATCGCGCTGTTCCGTCTAAATAAGGTAGGTCAGTATCACGTAATATGGTCACAATACAGTAGTAAAAGAGAATAAAATATAGGGAGGAAGAGGGGAAAACTGCCAAATGTGCGATGAAGCGTGTGCGCGGATTCGCTGTTGGAAGAGTAAATTTACTATGGCACGGTTGAAAAGTAGGTCGAAAGGAGATACCATAACGTGAATCCGTCACGTATAATCCGTATAACGTAACAGTCGAATATCCAGTGCTTGCAAACGGATCAGGAGTATTTGTTGCAGCATCTTCCATTATCTCTTAAAACATAAGAGCGAAATCAGCAGAGGTAACTTGTACACTACTTGATCAAATTATTTCATATTTGATTACTTAATTTTACGTACAACTTATACATAATCTTTATAAGAAAAAAGTTAATCAACTTGAAGCTGAGTATAATTTAAAATCAATTATTGTAAATACTATCTGTGAGATAACGTGAGAATAAACGTTAATTTATGCTGGCATAATAGTTGGATAAATTTTGATGTTGAAATTTTTAATAATGATACAAATGATAGATTATAGATTATCAGACAGGCGCAAATTACTTTTTCGACTGTGACTAGCTTTGTTCCTCACAATTAGAATACATATAACACAATAACGTTATCGACAAGCGCCAGCTCGACGAGAAACTCGATTTACCAGTGGCGGAGATGGTTATAGTGTACCATGTTATTGAACTAATTGCTTTAGGATCACAACGTAGAGCAGCTGCTGCGTAACGTATACATGCAAAATTTATCTATAAGTTTACTGAATTTTCTCTCAATTAAATTCATAATGGAGAAAGATAGAATTAGCAGAGAAAATATATCCTTTCAATTATTATTTTTCCAATTCGGAAGAAAGTATTAGCAGTATCATATTGTGTTTTCACACACCAGGTCTGGAAAGAATATCATAAACGCCGCCAAATTTCTTTCTGTTATTTTAATTTAATGAACCAGAACAGTCAAATATAGAAACAGAGCATATATATATATTTTCACTACATATCGGCTTCGCTTTAAATTCAACTCAACTCACCCTCTATAACAAAATATTATTGTAATTATAAATCTCATTTATTATATTATATGAGAGACGATTCTCGGAGAATGGAGAACAGAGGAGCATTGATTACCAAACCAACAAATATGACGTAACCTCGGATCTGTTCACCGTTGATATTTTTTTTTTTTTTTTTTACGACACAGTCAATCTCGATCGACGAATCCGTAATACGACCGCGGCGAGTGACGGCCGATAAATCGATGCCGCGTATATCGCAACGGATTACAGCTCGAACGTACGACGCATTGTACGTTTGATTTAATTACCTCTTGCGCGCATGATCACCGAAGCCTGCTTCGCGTATCGTCGAATTTCGGCCAATACCACCTGCCTATTACGCGTGGGAGACACGCGCGCGCAATTTTCCTCCATTTTATTTTTCTTTTTTTTTTTAATTTTTTTTTTTTTTTTTTTTTTTTTCGTTACGGTCGAACTGGGATGTATCGAAATATTCCCTCGCTCTCGTCCGCAACCGTTCTCTGTATATCCCAGTTCTCTACAACAAGTTCCCCGCCTTCTCGGCAGCTCGCCTCCCAACTCGACGACAGTGTGACGAGGGGGAGAAGGGACGAAGGAAAAAAAATTAAATCGAACGTATTTCGGCCAGGCGAATGGAGTTTCGGAATAACGAAGAGTCGACACTCTAATTCTTCCATTACAATGACCGTCGATCGTAACGCTCGCCCGTTTCTCGTTTTGGGAAATTTTAAACGTAGTTCGAGATTCGGGATGAGAGAGAGAGAGAGAGAGCAACTTTTTCGTTAAATGCGTTTTTTGTTCAGACGTCATCGTGTCATGAAGAAACAAAGAAGTATAAAGATCGAAGAGAACCAATGTAATTTGACACGGACATTGTAACATGTTGTAGTGCGTCTCGAGTTTTGTTTAATTTCACGGTATTGTTACCAAATTATTTCTAGATGGTGGCATTGTTTCACAATATTGATGAATGTGTCAAAAAACTTTTTCGACTATATTGCAAGCAACTTGTTTTTTTCTCTCTACTACATGTGTCTCGTGATTTTTAACAAATTTTTTTTTATACTAGAAAATATCAC